AAAAAAAAAAAAAAGAAAAGGAAGTGGTGGTCATTGGCCAGGCAGGAAATCTCTCTGGCCTGACGGGGAGAGGGGAGGAGAAGGAAGACCTCTGGACACTCAGACCCTGTGTCCCCCTTGCCCAGGCTGGAAGCCATGGCTCGAATGGCGGCCATGAAGGACCGCCAGCAGAAGGACATCTCTCAGTACAACATGGAGATCCGCGAGCTGGAGCGTCTCTACGCCCACGAGACCAAGCTCAAGTCCTTCCTGCTCGTCAAGTTGAACGACCGCATGGAGTTTGAGGAGCAGGCGAGAAAGGAAGAAGGTACACTCTCCAGGCCCCCACCCCTCTCTTTTTTCTTTCCTTACCTGGTAAGTGTTGTTGTTAGGTGCCATTGAATCAATTTCGACTCACAGCGACCCCATGTGACAGAGTAGAACTGCCCCCGTAGGGTTTTCTAGGCTGTAATCTTTATGACAGCAGATTGCCAGGTCTTTCTCCCTCAGAGCCACTGGGTGAGTTCTGACCACCAACCTTTTGGTTAGCAGCCGAGCACAAAAGCTCCTGCCTGGTATATAAGAAATGCTTAATTAAATAACTGTGAAATGAATAAATGAGTGCAGCTTCTGGCTTATCTCGTGGAAGAGTCTATCCCCCTCCCCAATGCACGCTATTAAGCAGGTGCTATCTGTCTGGCGCTGATCTGAGTGGCTGCCTTTTCATACTCACTCTTGCTGGTTTTTCCTTTTTTAGCTCAGAAGGCAAAGAAGCATGGGAAAAAGAACAAGGGGGAGAGTTTTGAGAGCTTTGAGGTGGCCCACCTCCGGCTGTTGAAGCTGTCCGAGAATGGGAACCTGAACCAGCTCATTGACGATTTCCTGGCCAAGGAGGAGAAGAACTTTGCTCGGTTCACCTACGTCACGGAGCTCAACAATGACATGGAAATGATGCACAAGAAGACTCAGAGGATCCAGGTCTGGCCAGTTCATGTTTCCCTAGGCCTGGGACCCCCTGCCCCGTTTCCAAAAACCGTCTGCCCACAACCTCCTTCCCCAAAGCAGGCTCCTTGGAACACTCCATCAGATGCTCTATAGAACAAAGGGTCTCAAGGTCGAATCTGTTTGGGAAATTCTGCTGTATTCTCCCAGTGCTCCCTTACCTTTTAACTTTTCTGAGATGGATACCTGTCTTTCAATGGATGCACACATTTAATGCGGTCATGCCCCCACCCCAATAGCTGTAGATGTTGCCGTGGAGTCGATTCCGACTCATAGCGACCCTGTGGGACAGAGTAGAACTGCCCCATAGGGTTTCCAAGGAGCGCCTGGTGAATTCGAACTGCCGACCTTTTGGTTAGCAGCCACATCTCTTAACCACTACGCCACCAGGGTTTCCAAAACCACCAGTATAGCGGTTATGATTTACAACGTATTTTGGGAGGACATAATTCAATCCATAACATCATGTTTTATAATCCAGAGATTGGTAAACTACAGCCTGTGGGCCAAATACGGCCTGCAACCTGTTTTTGAACAGCCCGTGAGCTAAGAATGCTTTTTACATTTTTAAACGGTTATAAGAAAAAAAAAAAGTATGCAAGAGATACTACATGTGGCCCACAAAGCCTAAAACATCTGCCATCCTGCCCTGTGCCTTGAGAGTTCGCTGACCCCTGTTAATCGACAGCTTCTTACACAGGAGGGGAGATGGTCGAGTTTCATCTGGAGAGACTCAGTGTACACGAGCATAGTAATGGCCCTGATAAGTCCTGCAGCAAAGAACTCTGTTTACCTTTGTTGAACCCATAATTTCCCAAATTAATTGGCAACCTGCACCACTCACTCCCCAGAACATAAATAAACATCCTTCTAACTGTCTGCACAGGATAAAGTCTTCACTCCTTAGAGTGACAATCAGGTCCTTCAAAATATACCTCCAACTTGCCTCTCCCTTGGGGATCCCCAAGACACCCTCGGCAGCTGTCCATCCCAGCATTGCCTTAGCTGTTCCTCCTCCAAGGCTTTGCTTGTGTTGTTCCTTCTCCCTTCCCCTTTTCTTCTGATGCAATATCCATCCTTTGTCCTGACCAGAAAAAATGTCACCTCCTCTGGGAATTAATCACTCCTTCCTCTGAGGTCCCTGAAGCCATTCTCCTTGTCGCTGTTTCCCAAATGTGTAGTGTGTACGCTGGTCATGCACAAGTAGTTTGTATCTAAGAGAGAGGTGAAAAAATTTTAACTGATTAGTTGTGAATGAAATATTAGGAAAAATACAGCTTGCAGAGCAAAGCTGTGATTTAATGGATATGATTACTTAGGGGGGCGCCCTGGTGGCAAAGTGGTTAAGAGCTCAGGCTGCTAACCAAAAGGTGGGCAGTTCAAATCCATCAGCTGCAA